TGTATGTGAATTCCTCATTAGAATCTTCAACCGAGAATGGTATCCAAAGGTGATTGTTTCTGATCATGGCCCATAGTTTGAATCCCGCATATTCCAGAAGTTCCTGAAGTCCAGAGGGATTTACCACCATCGGTCTCCGACATACCATCCACAAGCCAATGGTCAGGTTGAGCGCTTCAACCGAGTGCTTAAGCAGTACGTCCAAACTATCCTGCAGGAACAAACCAACGTTCGTACAGGCCTTGAGTTTCCGGGTGTCTACCGAAGTACACCACATGCAGCGACGAAGCTCTCCCCCGCTGAGCTCATCCATGGACGTAAAATGCGTACCCGTATGGACATCTTAGGCTTCCCAAGTTTCGACGAGCCCGTTCACATCGAGATGCAGCAACTCCGCCAATGCATTGCTGATTACCAGAAGCACAGCAAGCAATACACAGATGATAGGCAAAGAGCCAAACCATTTACAGCGGGTGTAGGAGATTATGTCTGAGATTATGACCGAAGGGAACACCATCATTTGACCCCTCTGAAAGAATTCATGAAGCTGTGGGGCCAAGCACCTTCTCTGCTTATTCTTCCATCTCTTTTACCTCTATCCCCCCATAGATTGGTTGATCCTTTCTTTTTACCTTCCCTCCACAATCTTTCATTTATTAATCATATTTCACACAAAGACCACCATCTCCTTCTCATTAAAATTTGCTGATGAAACCTTAAATTTTGTATGATTATTCAGAAAAAATTATGTATGAAAGGGCAAAGCCTGAGTCAGTCGAGCTGGAGTCCTATGCGAGGCTAGGGTAGCTTATGTGTCTGTGCAAGGGAATGATCGATTGAACTGGTGAGTATGGGATAGCTGGAGATGACTTCCTGAATGTAATTATTGTTTCAGAGGTTAGATGGTACTGAATTGTGGCGATTATTAATTATTAAAGGAACTCTCCAAGTGTAGGAACTATTAAACAGGCAAGAAATAAAAAGAAAGCATTATTCTAGTACATCGTTACTTATGCAACTTTACATTTTAACATTTGAAGTGTTCCTCCACCACAAAGTTTTATTATTATTACTGTTTTATATTGATTTAATCATTCAAATCTATACCACCATGTGTTTTCTTTTACATACACATTGTATGCTGAGTACAGAGTTTTGGCTGAAGCTAAGACGTGTTTTGTACACCATTTATTTGTACTAACCTTATAATTGGGAGGAAACATGTGCTTCATCACAATAGCAACATTGCTGAAGTAGAGGTTTCAAGGAACAAATACAATTAACTTGGAAGTCTGCTTGCCAGTGGAAGGACATTTTTCTATGACATCTGTGCAGTAAAAAGCCCACAAGCGTGCTTCTAATTAAAAACGCACGCTATCCAGAATAGCGCGACCCGCAAAAGCGGTTCTTCCTACGAGAATGTGCCTTGTGGAACAGTTTGAAACTCAGAAAAGAGCTTGTACCCTGGAAGGAGGGTTTCCCCCTTCTATTTGCTGTACGGCGGGAAAGCGGCGGACCAAGTAACTCGCAAGTGCGCTTCCCCTTGCACGTATTTTCCTTGTGGGAAAGCGCAGAACCAGCAAATGTACTTGTCAGTTGCAGTAAGATGGGAAAGCAGTAGACCTAACGTTCCATAAGCGTGCTTCTCCCTTAAACACCGAGTTTTGCAGGAAAGCAAAAAACCCGCAAGTGCGCTTCACCTTACGAAGTTGTGTACTGCGGAAAAGCGACCTAGAAATACTTCTTCATTATCTACATTTATTGCAAGAAATCCATGCGCGAATCTCATCCTCCGAAGAGCACTTATGGCAATAGGCCACATTGATTGACTGAACATGACTTTACAAATAACCAAATTACAGATTTCTCACTGGCGAAATTAAAAAAAGAAAAAATCATTGATTAGATTTAAACTGTTTTCTCAAAATAATTTTTTGAGAGAAATATAATTTCTCTGAAAATAATAAATACACTAGAATATGCAAGATCAACCAGAGACATATACTTTAGTCTGTCTGCCTGATTCTATACCTCTCTCTGCTGATATTTGACTTTGTATGCTTGTTCACGCACGCAGTTCTTTTGTTGACTCTACCCTTTCCCTTGTTTTGCTATACCTGAAGAACGAGCTGAAAAGTAGAGAGAGCGTTCAATCCTACAATTTACTTGTGCCTCGAAGAAGTCTTATATTTGCTCGTTATCCCCATATCAATATTACTTTATAATTATTTTACATGGAATGAAAATATAAATACACCTGAAAACAATAAAATAGTTGAGGTTCCAGTGGTAAAATTAATGTGTTTTTTTTAATATATCAAAATGTTTGATTTGAAACATCGGTATTCAAATCATACTTGGGTAGTCATTTAATTACAGTAATTAAATTACTGTAATTTAATTACTTTTCTGGTAATTTGTAATTCATCACTTCCTGCTAAAGGGAGCTGCAATTGTACTTTATTTGCTTTTTAGCATCAGTAATTACAAACTTTGAGGCACAATTACAACTACTTTTGCAAGGATTTCCGGTCCCAACCGGAAATCCTTGCATCATCAACACTGATGATGACATCAGTGACGTCACTGATGACGTCACCGACATTAGCATTGTCATCATCACTGATGATGTCATCAGCAAAGTAATTTGTAATTGCAATGAGTTATTCCTCAGGTAGTACTAATTGTAACTGTAGTTAAACTACTTTTGGAGCAAAGTAATTGTAATTAAATTACATTTTAAAAGTAATTTACCTGTATGATTAAAGTTGTGGTCTAAATCATGATTTCGATTTAAATCAACTTGATTTTTATCCTCCACCCTGTGTATATGTGTGTCAGTGCATGACCACTGCCAATCATTTCATTTGCAGCATGCGACATTGAGCCCTCAATTCTTTATACGAGGGCAATGGGGGATGGCCAAGGGATGAAGATGGGCTGAACAATTTTTTTCCAACATTTTGTTGATATACTATTAGATAACTTTGCATCCTGCAGGTGAAATTCGGTACGGTCTGCTTTTCTGGAATCGATCGGATGGACACTGAATCTATAAGTCGATTGAATCAGGATGTCCCATGCAGGAACCAAACTGTTTAATTTTTTTATAGCTAACTTACTAATATTGTAATATTGCTGCTTTTATGCTTCAAGTGTGTAGATAAGTGGGTAGCACAAATGCTCAGAAAGAGTGGCAATGTCATGTTCTTTATATAGTTGATTATAGTGGAGACAAGAGCTTCTGGAAAAGTATTTGCGACTCTGTGTAGGTGTCAATCAGGCAAAGGCAAACGCTGCCTTGTATTGCAGAGACACAAGGAATTATCTTACACCACTTTTCTTTGCAAATAATGATTTGGCAGCGCTACAGCGATAGTAGATAGTGCTGGCAAAAAAGGGCTGTCATTTGTGGTCCTCGAATTAGGAGGGTCAGCAACAGGTTTATAATAATAATCATCTTTATTTTGGTGTCATCAGTCTTTATCTTGGATGCCCCGTGGTGCACCAAAACAAACAATAAAACCAGCAAACAAAAAAAATCCTAAACACACTTATAAAGTTAACAAACAAATAAATGTAAGATTATCCAAATGGCGACGGTACATTGCAACAGATGCAGATATATAAAGGCGAGGTGGAGCGATGGCATCATATGACTGAATCCGAGAGACGTGAGGTATTCACAGTGAGCACACATAAAAGCATACGAAATGTCTGGTTACACATGAAGGAACATGAAACAGTTCTGCTCTAGTTTGCCTGTAGTTGTTTAGAAAGGCATCGGTGGACATCTTCACAGACTCCTTCTTTAAATAGGGTGGACATGCCTGCAAGAAGCAGTAACATCATTCCACATCGCATAGGCTGTAACTATTTGCTATTACCCATGTGCAATAGGTGTTCGTTGCCCGTAGTAATTACTCTGCATGTGATGTGAAGGAATTTGTGGCTCCCGTGTCGACCAAGGCAATGAATTTGTGAGCCAAATATTAATGTCTTATTATTGTCACTCCCAATAAAAGGAATTTCCTTGCATCTTGTGGAAGTGGTACCTGGGCTCCGGATCATTTGTTTCCTGCAGTATGGCACCCAGGCCCAATCCCATGCCATTCAAGAAAGAAAATCGAGACGGCACGTGCAGTTGCCTGGTAGAAAAACAGCTTTTCTACCAGGCAACTAGAACCCAGTTATCTGGTAGCTGTGATGCTTGGCCGAACAATGCAAACAAAGAAATTGTTAGCTATCTGGGCCAGCAGCCTCTGAAAAGCATTCATTTAAGGATTAGCAGGAAAATAAGAATAAAGTGTTGGTTTCAAACTTTTGGACATAAAAGGAATAGAATACTAACTCCAGACGACTACTACTTATTTCAACCAGCAACAAAATTCATCACTGTCATTGCTGGTTAAAGGAAGCAGTCCACTGTAGTTTCTTTCCATTCTTTGTGTTAGAAAGTTTTTGTATAATCTACTGATATGGCCATACATCCTTCGACAGTAAAACAAATTTTTTTGAAAATGCTGTAAACAAATGCCTCCACAGCGCACTTCCAGCTTGTCGGAGTAATGAACCACGTCTCTGCAAACTGTGGTGTTCTCAATACAATGCTAGTATCAAGCTTAATACTTTGCGACAATGCTCTCGTGTTAAGCTTTTCCTTGTTGCACCAGTACACGCGGAGAAGCACTCGTGCTCACGCTGTAAGTTTTCCCACATCGCACCGGTGCATGTGAAACGCACCAGCTCTTTTTTGGTAACCTTCTCCACGCTGCGGAGAAAAGCCAGTGCTCTCGCAGTTAGCTTTCGTACGTTGCTCTGGTGCACGCAGAGAAGCACCGGGCATTATTTGTGGAGTGATCAGAAAGGAAAAAAGGGGCCCATGTGGACTAGCTATTGTTAAGGCAGGATTGATATCAAATGCAGTGTGTTGATGTAACTACTAAGGTATAAGACAAATTGGCACCCCCCCAAATGTAAGTAAACAACATCAAACTCGATTTGCAATGCAGAACAGTTTATTCACATTATAACACAAAATTCCGATTCCCTCGAAGCACTTCAGACTCGGAAAGAATCATCGGACTGTGCAGCGCCTAGTTGTTGGTTTCTTCAGAGCCAATTTACACAAGTAGCAACTTGCTCAGTTTTCAAGGGGCCTTGTTTTTGGAGCCTTCTTGTTACCAGATGTGAGGCCCACAAACTTTTTGCTATAATATCCCCAGCCTCTTAGAAAGACTATGTCGTCAGATTAACAAAACTTTGCTGGAAAAGTCGGAGAATTCTGAAGAGACAACATGGCGCGGTCAATAGGGCACCCTTGATGGTCCAGCCGTCCCACGAGCGGGTCCCTGGCATTGCCTCCTTGTGGTCCTGCTGGATCTTGGCCCTGCATGGCCATCTTCTCCAGGATGCTCCATACTTGCTGGCCCATGAACCCAGCGAGGACCTGCACACGGTACTTGACATTAGCACCAAAGCTGATTGTCAGCTGCAGTCACCTCACTCGTTCAAATTGTTAAAGATGTTGCCTTGAAGATTTCACAGAAAAGGTGCTGCGCCTTTAGCTTTACATACAAGGCACCTATGCCAAAATGTCTAAATGGGACCGGTTGGCATCTCGACTGGTTACAACTGGAACTAACTGGTCCCAAGTTGGAATTGGCTGTTATCAATAGGAGTGCAACTGCGACTAGCTGAGGAGTCAACTGGCTTGACTATGCCCAGATGGGGAACGGGTAGGGGTAACTGGGACCAGTTAAGGAGTTAACTGGTTGGAGGGATTCCCAGGGGAAGTTTCAATTGTTTTCCCATTCCCTGTTAGGGTTCACATGCCGTGTCCATTTCGACAAGATGGGGGTGTATTGATCTTTGCTAGTGAAGGAAAAAAAAACTTAAATATATAGATTTACAGAAATGGATAAACCTTTAATTACTAGGTATACATTTATGTATTTAAAAAAATATGTCAAATTTTAATGTACATATCTTTTTATAAATTGCAATATAATTAGTGGCATAAAAAATATTTACTTAAATCAACATTTATGTACATGTATAAAATGTATTAAACATTGAAGCAAAGACCTACTCCCTTTTTTTTTTAAATCGGACCCAGCAGGCCGTTGTGACACGCATGCGGATTAGTTTTGCGCGTTGTCGACAGATGGCACATGTGACGCAGTGAAAAATCACCAATCATGATTTTTAACGATGATGAAGTTGAGAGGCTGAAGGTACAGAATATTACAGTTGAGAAAGCTAGTAAATACAAGTACCTAGGAGTATGGATATGTGATGGTGCAGAATATCTCAGTGAGCATGAAAAGTATATAATAGGTAAGGGCAACAGAAATGCAGCTGTAATGAAAAATAGAGCACTTTGAAATTACAACAGGTATGAGGTGGTGAGAGAGATTTGGAAAGGGGTCATGGTGCATGGCTTGACTTTTGGAAATGCAGTGCTATGCGTGAAATCCGAAGTGCATGCGAGACTAGAAATAAAACAGTGCAGAGTAGGTAGGCTGGCTTTGGGGACACATTGCAAAACACCAAACCAGGGAGCTAGTACAAGGAGACATGGGATGGGCGTCATTTGAGAGCAGGGAAGCGGTGAGCAAGATAGAATTTGAGGATTGGTTGAGGCAAATGGATGGGTGGCAATGGGCACAAAAGGTTTTCAGCTATTTATACACGAGGAGTATAGATACAAACTGGAGACAGTGCACTAGGGAGTTAGGAGGACAGTTTTTAAGGCTATAGTGGACTTAGGAAGAGCAGGTGTCAGTTAAGGCCACAGAAAGAGATTGGTGGCTAGAGAGAATGCAGACAAAGACGGCTCTGGAAAACTATAAATTAAACAAAACAGTTATTGCCAAAGAAAGCATTTATGACCATTCTAGGGGAAGCTCATTGTTGTTTGAGGCGAGGACGGGTGTACTGCAAACCAGAACACACAGAGCGAAGTACCAGGAAATGGATACAGTGTGCACTGCTTGTGGAGAGGAGGACGAGACGGCTGAGCACTTGATACTTGATACGAAGAGAACAGAGATTTAATAAAGACATTGGGTTTTAGAAACAGCGAAGGAACAGTGGATTTCAAGACAGTAGAGATTACCAAGCAAATATTAAGTGAATGGTGGCAGAAGGCGAGAGAAAACTAGGTATTTTCTTATTAACTGATGGCAAGGGTGTTTTATAGCCTCACTTTCTTTGCAGTGCGGAGTGAATATAGCTTTCACCTTTAAATATTCTAAGCTTAAATGGTAAAACAGAATGGCTAGGTGGCGTAAGCTACCGCCCGATCCAAAGGGCTCAGCCGGATTCATCCATCCGTCCATCCAGTGGCCGGTAGAGAAGGGAAACCATCGCCAAAGTTGGTGTATTGATAAACGTGTCGTTATGAAAATGTCAAAACCATATCTGCGCTTCTTGCGACCCAACGGTGAACTTCGAGGGCAGAAAGATGCAGTTCAACGACCGGAGGGCAGCCAGGGAGAAACCAGACGGAAGAGAAAACAGCCGCGGAGAGCACAATGGTAAAAATGGCGGAAAGTCTACCCGAACTGGCAGCTGTTGTGACACAATCAATTGGAATTGTTTGATTGTAAGGTGGGAGCGCAACCGCATCCTATCGGGACTTCACCTGCGCAACGCGGAAACACGGGTGAGCACCTTTCTTCACGCGATGGAGAGAAGCTAGGGACGTCGTCACGGATGCTGACAGACGCCAGCGGCTAATCTTTCACCTCGCACAAATACTCGCTCTGAAAGGGCGATTCAATCGTCGCAATTAGCTAACGAGGCAACTGAAGCGGTCCTTAGAGCTACGCTGTGCTTCCTTCAATCCGGAAACGTGAACGTCACCGAACCTATTTATTTTCATTCTCGGTTTTTGACAATAAAGACTGGTCAACCTTCCAAGTTGTGCCGTGTTTCGTTGCTGGAGTTGGCACCGTTCTGTCAACCAGTTGAATCCAACCAGTAATTTAGCTCGCCACGTGCGCAGGTCAATTTTCAGTTCCCCTTTTTACGGTGAGCCTTGCAATCGTAGCCGCCCTATATTCGCGCTCTTTAGTGCAGCGACTTAACGCACGTGTGCATACCTTGTTGCCGATCCGGTTTGGGTGGACGCCGTCGCGGTGGATCCACTGGTGCCACTCGTCAGCTAGCCCGTCAAGGAACGTGAACCCTTCCCTGCGACACAACTCTCGCAGCAGCGAGTTCACCTCTCGGTAACGGTCATTCGAAGCCTCGATCTCTGCAGCGTGACTACGCTGCCATTCCAATGAGCAGAACCTATTCTCCCGTCTCGGAAGAACGGCAGAAAAGGCGATCTGCATCACTGGATTGCGTTCACAGATCTGGGCAGCTAGACGACGATATTTGTCGATGTACACGCTGGCACTAATATGGGAATTATTAGTGCCAACGTGTAGGATGACAACATCAAAATCGGGTAGCTTCTCAGACACCTGGGAAAACAAGTGCTCGATTCTAATACCACTAAACGGCGCAACCTCAACAGCCAACCGACTATTCAATGGCAAGTACTTCACCATCGAATCGCCGGCTACCAAAACTCGAGGCACGTTGGGGGTGCGATCAAAGCTAAAATACAAAGAGTAGCACTAGATACGGAAAAATGTATTGCTAAAAAGAACAAGACAATGCTAAACAAAACGCTTCAAAGAGTGCGAAAAATCAGTCAAAATAGCTTGCGTGACCGGAGCCGACAGCAGCGCGGCCAGGACCCGACCACAGAAGACTACAGTGACTACAGCGGCAGACGCACATGGTCGGCCACATGTCATAACAAAGGCAACATCCGGGGCCGGGGATGATACGTTACTTCCGGCGTCGAAGGAACGATTTCCACACAGCCGTCTTTCCTCCGACGCGACTACGTCACTTCCGGCGTCGGAGGAACGATTTGCACACAGGTCCCACTCCTCCGACGCCCGTCGGAGGAAGCACTTCCATACGGGCCAGGTGGATGGGATCGCTGGTTAATTGCCGGAGAGTGCAGCAACATGCCGGACTTGTTCTTTTTTTACTTTTTATATGTGTGTGTGTTTGTGTGTGTGATCGTTGTTTTTACTTCGACCGATCGAGGAAAATACGTCCCTCTGACGTCTGTCGATTACGGTGCCAGCGGTCGCTACCGCGAACGCGCGCTGGCACGGAAAGCCGTGACGCGGTTTTTTTCAAGAGTGCCTCGATTCTAGAGTGTTTCTAACTCCTGGATTGTGGTCACGTGGTTTTGAAAGCGCTTGTTCGTCTGCGAGCGTCCAAGCCACGGTGGAAGCGACTTGCAACGCATGCGCACTAACGATGAACCCGGCCGGGAGGTGTCCGCCATTAAATTGCAATTGCTCTCCGTGGTTTGAGTTGCTCCTTATCTTAAATGTAGGCTCTCTAGTTTTATATCGCGGTGGCGGCGTTGATGTCGCGCGGGGGGCGTCGAGGGGCGTTGCGCTCGGAGCTAGTTCTTGCATCTTGCGGCGACTTGGCTCCATTGGCACTTGCAGGCACGGGACCGTGTGTGAACGGCTTCGATTGCCTAGACTCGGGAGGTGGGAAAAAAAAACGCGATCGGGGCGCGCGCGCGCGCCAACTCCGTCTTTCTTTGAAGACCGCATCCGAGCTTCGGGTTTCGAGCGAGGCGCGCGTTGGCGACGCGGCTAGCATGACTGCGACCAAGTTGGATCCGTGGTCGGACCAAGAAGCTGCCAAACTCGGTGAGTTTTTATTTTGGCACGTTGACGACGAGACCGGGCTCGTCTCCGCGCAGCTGTTGCGCTCAGGGGGCGGATCTTGACTGCAGCACCTCGTGTTTCAACGCCTCCCGCTTTTTTATTTTTTATTTTTATTTATTTATTTAAATAATAAGGCGCGTACAATATTTCTTGTGTTCGTCCCATACCCATTTTTTTTTTTCTCGTCTAGTTACATCTTACATTGCTGGTAACACACTTCGCTGTATCTTTTTTTTTTTTTTTAATGCAATTATAACGGATACGTTTTGCGCGCGGATGTCGTCTGCTACTCTAGCTTCTTGTCACTTTTTTTTTTTTTTATCTGCCACGCGCTTTTATTTGTTGCATGTCTTTTTATCCGTTGCCTGCTAAGGTTTGTTGCCTGTATTTTATCCATCACGTACCCGTCTTTTTTTACCCGTCACTCATTTGCTTTATCACCCGTTTTCTTTGTCTGTTTCCGTTATCTCTTGCTCGTTTTCTTTATCCGTTCCCCGATGTCTTTATTAATTACCAGTTCCCCTTATGCGTAACCTGCCCCTCAGTTCGCCGTTTTCTTTTATCCGTCACGAAATTTATAAAATCTCCTTAAGTCGAGCAGAGGCATATTTCGTCTCTTCATTGCGGCCTCATATCCATCTCCCCCTTTATGTCGTTCCCTTTTTCTTTTCTTTTTTTCTTCCGTTGTTTAAACGCGGCAATAATAGACTAGAATAGACGACCTGCCCGATTGCACTCATTGCGCGATAGTAAGATCATTTTCGAACAAGGAGCACTTCAGATAAAATCTACTGAAATACGCACTGAGCGCGCGCGCCTTCAGCGTGTACAAATCAAAGGATCCAGCTCCTTCGTCTGCTTATCGCATGCAGTTTGTTCGTTTGACATTTTTCAGGCACACTTTTTTTTTTTTTATCATTGTGGGTTTGACAGATGATTTCGTGAGGTAGGCGGATCAAAGAATACATGTAGTTCATTGAAACGATAACATTAATCGCTAGCGAGTTTCCAATTATCTCTGGCGCCCTCGCGATCTGCAATCACTGCGACCTGCGTGTGCAGTACAGAGACCCCTTTTTCGAAAGTAAATTGACGATTGTTAGATAGCTCGAATTTCCTTCACAATGGCGGAACCGGAACAGATGACACCGTGGCTAAAATTCCGAATGGGATAACGTTGGAATAGAGATATGTTTCTACGCTGATCTAACTTTGGTGGCATCTTTTTGTGAGCGCCACTGTCAACGTTGCCACTGTGCAGGATTTTCCGCACAATTTCCGAGAGAAGATTCGTTGTCCAATAAGGCCCTATTCTAGGTTTTCTCCGGGCTTTCACTGGCGGGGCTCGACGCCTCCGTAGCGGTACTACACAAACGCAACGAGAGACCCCAAAAAGCACGGGACGAGGCACGAGGCGTCGAAATCTGACACTCGCTCGGTGACGCCTGAGGAACAGAGTCGACCGACCGACCAGCCAACGCGGAAGTCGGAGCTTATGGAACCGAACAACAAAATGATAATAACACCGAGGGTCTGCTGCGTGCGAGAGTCGCATGGTCGACGTGATGTTTTCATTTCCTCTTCACTTTTTTTTGCTTATAATTCTTTTTCTCGCCTCCTTTTATTAGCGTTTTGATTTGTTGCGCAAGCACGGTTCACCCAGCCTGACGAAACAGTGCGGAGTTGTTGCTTAGCGGTGTTCGCCTGTCGCCGCCATCGCCGCCAAAGGATTGTATAGGCAGGCAGACAGGTAGGTAGGCATGAGCGGCAATATGTGGAGGCGGCCTTGGCCGCCTCAGGCGCTGTCGTGGACTGGAGTGTTGCTGCGGCAAGCTGTGGGAAGACTCCAAGGAAAGCACCCCCCCCCCCCCCCCCCTTTTTTTTTTTTTTTTTTTTTTTTTCAACGACAGGAGCTTTTTTTTATTTATATATATTTTTTTCCTAATGACCAAGAGTGCCACACACGAGACAGCTCCAAGGCGCACCAGTCTCCGAAGTACCGAGAATCGAGACTGGCGCGTTTTTGTTTTTTTTGTGTGTCGATGGGGGTTTATCGGGACAACTTCCCTTTCTGTCGTCTGCTATTGCTGTTCTGTCGTCTGCTATTGCCGTTTCGCTGCGGCCGAGGCTGGGGGGTGGTGGAAAAAACAAGCTCGAAAACAAGCGAACGAAAACTTGTTTGTTTTTTTCTTTTATTATTAAATCTCGATGGGGTTGCAAACTGGCCTTGGCCCCTCTCTTTCGCAGCTGGACTGCAACACCGGCGGTGTGACGGAAAGCTGCGGCGGCGTGGCTATATTCCAGTCACGCGTGCACACTCGCGTGCACTAATCGACGCGGATTTGTTGAAGGCCTAAATGGAGAGTCGAAAATGGTCGTTGCCGCGGTCTGGGTCACATTCGCACGTGCGTGCCACGTGCCGTGCTCACTTGCAGAGAATTCGGGGTCATCAGTTCGTCGGGTCGAAATCATTAGGACGTTTCGGAATCGTCGAGGGCGGGAGCTTACACTGAAGACTTTTTTCTTTTTTTCTTTTTCTCTCCACAACTGCCGTTTACTCGAGATATACTGCCCCCCCCCCCCCCCTTTTTTTTCCCCGGCACCCTTAGAATAGCAAAACAAATACAATGTTAACTTTTTTTTTTTTTTTTTAAATTTTATTGTTAAAATAAAGTTTGCTTCACCGAACCCTCAGTCCTCGCCCATGTGTAGTAGCGCTAGCGGTCTGGACCAGATGCTGCCATAGTTTCAAAACAAACCGTTTTATTAAAAAAAAAAAAATAATAAAATAAAATTTTTAATGGAATTTCGGACATTTTTAATGGTAAAAATGAATATATGGGGTCTGAGTGACGCAAACTACCGAGAACAGATCACATTTTGCCATTAAAATTTCCGAAAGACAAAACTTTTGAATGAGACAATAGTTAGTTCGTTGTTTTTCTGTCAACGCCGCAATCTCTTGCAATTCCACAATGATGAACTCACAGCTAAGGCTGCAGTTAGAGCTAGAGTAACTCTACTCTACTTAGAGCAGCTCACTTGCGCCCTCGCGTTTTATTCGTTATAACCTGAGTGTTTTTTGTTTTTGTTTTTTTAAGCATACATTTTGCAGACAAGTGTCGTAAATTGGTACAGACAGTAAAGACTTTCGTCAGTTTATCTATATATTTTGTTAATATCGACGTATTCTGTCAAACTCTTCAAAACTTAAAATTTATTTTCTCTTTCTGCTTTTTTTCTTTGGTGTAACTTAATTTCTTTGGAAATAAATTAATTCCACACTATTGAATCCACCAACCTAAAGCTGTGGAATGCATAATCCTTCACAGATCAAGTTTTCGTTAGAAACGGGATTCTTGCGTGCGCATTTTCTAGCAGACGACACGCGAAGCAGACGACCCACGAACGTCGTCCGCTTCCCGCCCGGTAGCGTGAATCACTCCAGCTGCTAGTGTCATCTTAATTTGTTTCGGAATAATAAAAAAGGGCACGAATACATTGTGCTGGCTCTTATTTTTCTGTGTCCACCAGACCAAGGTTTTTTTTTTTTTGTATATGGTGAATAGACTCCACCTTATTCGTGCACTAATCCTGAGATAACTTGTTGCTGGTGAAGTCTAACATAATTCCTAAATAATAATAATAATAATAATAATAATAAATAAATAATAAAGTAATGAAGGTCAATCAATTTGTTTACTTTGTAATCTTTGATATTCTGTATTTTACCCGAGGTTGCCGTACCGTACTGTGGGTTTCATAAGGTGTGAAAATATAGATATAGGCATCCCTTTGTCCGTGTAATGATGTATATCGGAGGCACCAATTCCTGTTATTCGATCTAGTAGCACTTCAAGTCAAGCAAGAAACAAAAATAAATTTTATTTTATAGGGTCTATATCGCGTTGCGGTGGAGCGTGACCCACTCCTGTGCATTTTCACATATCTACGCAACCTTGCACGCCATTCAAGGTAATCCCAAGTGTAAATCGATTTATATCTGTTTCGTCCGTGTATTTATTGCCACCGTCTGCGTTCTAGCTAGTTCGAAGCCGAAGTGTTGTCCTTGTGTCATTATTTTGATTTTAGTTAAACATCGCACTCACAAGTTTGGTTTCGCAAATAAGAGCTAGGCCACAGCATAAAAATACATGACATCATCAAGGGCATCGGAACTATCACTAAGCCACCACAGTCGCACCCTTGATTCTGATTATCGCACGTTTGGAGCAAGGAGCTTGCTCGCTTGCCTCTAAACCGAAACTAATCAGTATGATGCCGAGCCTCTAAACCGAAACTAATCAGTATAATGCGGAACCGGAACTATCAAGAGTTACTGCGGGGGAGAGTGGATTATTTTTAAAACAACTAGTAACGTCGGCGTTTGTACGTGCACTTTTTTTGAAAATCAAGGCCACTGTAGTATTTTTGTGCAAATATGCAAACTTAATTTTAAGCATTTGCGCCGAAGCGCTTAATTTTAAGCATTTTACCCGAAGCAAATGTACAAACTTAATTTTAAGTATTTTACCCGAAGCGCCTCGTCCTGTTACTCTCCTCTTTGTCCTGTCGTTTTTTGGCGCAAATGATTAATTTGACCGAATTTTACCACTGAGACTACACTAGGGAGACTACACTAACGATTGTAGTCCCCCTTGCGGATATTTGAGAAACTACGTCGTGCTACTTTTTTGAGCGCATCTCGATCATCTTCACAGACGATGACCGCATGCATTGACCAATGCCGACCAATGCGGGGGTAGCGAGGGCATACGTCATAGTGCCAAGATGATCGCCTTGCCGTTGTGCGGACGGTGACGTTTTCTGTCGCCCTTTAAAAAACCTGCGATGCCCCTCGGAGAAGATGCTCGGAAGATCCGTGATCGGCCAACCGTGACCGTCGTTCTACTCTCGGCCGCTGCGACGAATTGACCTCGTAAGCGCTCGCAGCCAATTTGCATTTTTGACCATTTGAAACACCCTTCCCCACCCCGCCGTTTACGCAATATCCGCGTTTGCTCGCAGCGCATCTTCGCATTAGAACACCATTTGCGGGTTGAAGGTCGTCATTTGCTCGTTTTTTCCACCCGGATACGTTCTTGGACGCTGCTACCTTTTGGCATGCTTCCTTGATCGGTTTTGTACCTCGCTTCCTGCCCGTGCATGTCCAAAAACTAAAAACTCTGCTCCGACTCGACACGTCGCGCCGAAGCGCGTTGGTGCAGGTTTTGCAAGGCTTTGCATTGCCCAAGGTAAGATCGTTCTTGAAAACGCCGTGCATTGCTAGCGTATATTTTGCATTTAGGGACATCGAGAGGTACCAGTCTTCTTTGAAGACGTTGCGGTAAGGTAGGAAGTTCTTTGCATGCATATTGCCCATTGCGCCCGTTGCGGATGGATGTCTTGCATTTTGCAATGTTTATGTTGCCTACCGTCACTTGCGCGAAGGTAAACGTGCTACGGTCCAAGTCGCTCAGATTCTTCATGCTCGGGACTGATCAGTCTTTTTTTTCTTTTTACTTTGGAACTGTTGGGAGCATCGGTATGCGGGAGGGACTCCAATTCGGAAAGACAAATAAATGAATAAATAAAAATATTGCTGCAAAGAGAACGGCGGTGTGTAGGTATTTTCACCGTGTGAAGAACAATTATTTCAGCAATTCTAGACGGTTAAACAAAAAATGCAAATGCAAAATGCTGAAAATGCAATGGGAAAATCGTGCATGTAACACGCCACCGTGATTCAATCGAGGCCAAATTAGATTTGGTTTCTTTAATGTCCGGCAGGCACAGCTCGAACCTCGAGAGTAGCAAGAGAAAGTTGTCTAAAATCTTGAAAAATTAAAAAAAGGGCATGTTTATTTATTTATTCATTTTAATTTGAAGCTAGAAAATTGTAAGGGAGTGCAGACGGCTTTAGTATCTTCAAAGTCTTGGTACTGGCCATCCTTTATACTTTTACATCAAATTCATTTAATAAATCTAGAAAAGGAGGTTTAAAATTTTCTCCTGCATTTTCACTGGTCCTGGTGGTTGTATATATTTATTGCTGAAACTTTATTTTACATTAAGAAGCAGCAAAATTTCTTTTGCAAAGTCTGTACCCAATTCTTCGTAGCTTTAGTTTGCCCAAAGGCATTGCACAAAAGCTTTGCACATCGCATAAAAAGGTGCAAAGTTGAAAAGTATTCTAGCAACGACAACGCACCCACTACTGCAAAACTGACGCTCTTAACCTCCATTCTTTTCTCGTTCTTGCATTACTCCTCCCCCTTTTTTTTTTTTTTTTGTGCTTATAATGGCAATGTTTACGATTTGCCACGCTCTGCTTCCCGTCTTTGCTCCCTGTAATTTTAAAAGGAACCACGGCTCGGCTCGTTTGAGTAAAAACTATGCGTTTCGATTGGCGGCTGCAGGTGACACTTGGGCCCAGGAGACAGACAACGGGGCTGTCTGCTGGGGCGACGATGCCAGTGCCATGAACTCTGCACCGCGACCAGAAGGACGCCGAACCACCCGCCGCGTCCGCAATGGAAAGCGGGACAAAGGTATGCCTCGGCAATGTGCATGGAGTGGCGATCCTTGCCTTGTAGCCCCATAATCTCGCCTCAGTTTGTTTGTTTTGGTACTACTTCATACATTTTTTGACACAAAGTGTGTTGATAGTGTTGGGATCCCCGATTGAAGCGTGACAGAACGCCACAGAAACTGTTGCAAAATGCGCAACACATACTTCAGAGGACAATTGGTACAAAAAAGTGGTATATTGTGAAGAAAATACCACATTATTATTAAACACCCCCAACGGAGGATCAAATTCACGACCATGTGAATGCGAGCTGAAAATTCTACCGCTGTGTTGGTCAGCGAGTAGACACAGACCTAGCTGGCTTTGTCTTTATTAAGGTGGTCTCAACTAACCTTTTGAACGTGAGCCCCGATTGCTGGTGTTAGCGTTTGGCGTGAAAACAGTTGATGGGAAGAAACGAGAAATGTAAGACGTGCCCACCATTGCATAGAACACAACTCTGAATAAAATACCGAAAGAAAACAACTGCAATGTCCACCACAAACCTCTAAGACTGTCGCGTAAATGCATCCCGTGTACACCGACTTTATGCGTAAGATTAAGATAAATCAAAAATTTTTTCTTGCATTGCAAGAGATGCAACTGTGGCAAAAAGTGTTTTGGAGTGTCTTGGTGACGTATATCTACGTAATGCTTTGTATAAATAATCTTTAGGTACCTGCAGTTCTTTAAAGGGCATCTCCGCCGTAACTTTGATGGTCACCGATTTCTATAAAATTTTCACCATCTATTTGGATGCCCTTCCTGAGCATGTGTACAAAATATCTCGGAAAAATATTAATTTTTTTAGAAGAAAATGAATTTTGAAATTTACATGTACACACCCAAATCACTTGCTGCAGCCCTACTGGCAACACTGAGCAAGAGCGGCACACGGAGGCTGCCATGGTGGCGCTGACGTTGCAGTGACGTCACATGTTGGTCAGGGTGCTTGCTTTTTAGCTAGTTGGTGCTAGCGACTGTCTGCTTTTTGCTTATGTTATCGGTTTATACAGTTATGTAAGAGGGCGTAATGGCGACTGGAGGAAATTGGTGTTGTGTGTGGAAACGTCGCTTGAAAACACGGTCTACCAAAACCGTCTATTGTCAGACCCCAAGATATAACAAAAAGTGCCTCCAATTAAAAGGCATAACGTCGATCAGTTTTTTTTTTTTTGGCGTGCTAGCAACAGAAGCTGCCTTACCATTCCGCTTTGGAAGCGGCATCTGGGTCCACATGGCGGCGGATCATGAATGCAGCCGTCGCTGGCGGTTTTCTCGGAGGCGATGCCGGCGGATCGTATGAGAACGGGTTATCGTCATCGTCCCCAACATCTAGCAGCATATCCTCATCGTTGCTCGATTCAGACGAGCCTGATGAGTCCATTTTTATCCGCGGCACGAACACAAAACAGTGACCTGCTGCCAGGCTGGCCAGGCTCAAACTGCACACGTGCGAGTGTTTATACCATATGTGACGTCACGTCAAAATGGCGGACCAGTCGAGTGGCAAGTTAGTTTCGGTATCGGTTTCAGCGTATTTTAACGATTATAAATTATGTAAACAGTTTTTTCATGATTTAACCGCTGCTATAGGCTAAATTTTTAGTACCCCTTTCCGAAAATGTTTTGATAAAAACGCTCAAATTGACGGCGGAGCTGCCCTTTAAGCGTGGCTCACTGGTGCATCATGCACAAAGAGACCACAAACTTTTGGGCGGGCAGACTGGTTAGGTTAGGTAGAGCCACAAGCTAAGCTTTGATTATGTCGGCGCTCCGGGTAGGCGCCGCCATTTTTGTGCTTAGTGTAGAACGGTCACAAATGGCTGTCATTACAATTCAAAAGTGCAACTTTCTCGGCTTCAAACATGGCGTCGGGGAGCCTGGGCGACATTGTTTTGCTCTGTCGTAGACAGTTTTAACATTTCTGAAGGACGGAAAAGCATTTCCTGCAATTTTCTGCAAACACTGTCTGAGACGAACATGTGACGGAATCATATGTTTGTTTTTTTAGACTTAGGCTAAATGGCGCAAGCTACCGCACATTATAAATGGTACAGCCATTAGCATCTGTCTATCCATCTGTCCATGGCTGAGACATTGTAGCTCAGAATTTTTATTTATACCCTAGTTAAATGGACACCCTTAACCGGGGTTAAGTATGATAGAGGCCAGACTTGTTGCAGTTAAGGGTGTCCAGGTAACTAGGGTATAGTTAGCAGTAACTGCTCGGCATACTTAAGCGTAACTGCAGTTTAGGATGCCCTCGGGCACCCTTAACCGCAGTTAAGTCTGACCTCAGTCACACTTAATTGTGGTTAGGGGTACCCATGTAACTAGGGCATGAGCGGCCCTAGGTTAAGTTAAGCCACACCAATCTGTTCTAGACTTGATGGTGTGCGGCAAGTCTGGAAGGACGGGTAATTTGCTGTTTCATTTTTGACCGATCGAAGCGTGAATGCACCTGTATGGCAAGGTGCATCTCGACCTAGAGTGTTCCTGTCGTTCCTCCAGGCCCCAAGAACGACCCGTTTCGCTTCGAGGGTGAGGGGGTCTCGTTCAAGGCCAAGCTGATAGGGAGCGAGACGGTGGACAACGCACGGGGGGACCGCATGTGCCAGGATGCTATGCAGAGGCTCAAGGCGGCAGTGCGGGCATCCGGCGAGCACAAACAGAGGGTGGTGCTCGCCGTGTCTCTCCAAGGAATCAAGATCCGCGATGACAAGTCCGGGGTGAGTCGAATCCCCACTGACTTCAGGGACTGCCCGGGTGGGTGGCTGTCCGGTTCTCTGGGTGGCTGTCCGGTTCTCTGGGTGGCTGTCCGGTTCTCTGGGTGGCTGTCCGGTTCTCTGGGTGGCTGTCCGGTTCTCTGGGCGGCTGTCCGGTTCTCTGGGCGGCTGTCCGGTTCTCTGGGCGGCTGTCCGGTTCTCTGGGCGGCTGTCCGGTTCTCTGGGCGGCTGTCCGGTTCTCTGGGCGGCTGTCCGGTTCTCTGGGCGGCTGTCCGGTTCTCTGGGCGGCTGTCCGGTTCTCTGGGCGGCTGTCCGGTTCTCTGGCAGGCTGTCCGGTTCTCTGGCAGGCTGTCCGGTTCTCTGGCCGGCTGTCCGGTTCTCTGGCCGGCTGTCCGGTTCTCTGGCCGGCTGTCCGGTTCTCTGGGCGGCTGTCCGGTTCTCTGGGCGGCTGTCCGGTTCTCTGGGCGGCTGTCCGGTTCTCTGGCCGGCTGTCCGGTTCTCTGGCCGGCTGTCCGGTTCTCTGGGCGGCTGTCCGGTTCTCTGGGCGGCTGTCCGGTTCTCTGGGCGGCTGTCCGGTTCTCTGGGCGGCTGTCTGGTTCTCTGGGCGGCTGTCCGGTTCTCTGGGCGGCTGTCCGGTTCTCTGGGCGGCTCTCCGGTTCTCTGGGCGGCTGTCCGGTTCTCTGGGCGGCTGTCCGGTTCTCTGGGCGGCTGTCCGGTTCTCTGGGCGGCTGTCCGGTTCTCTGGGCGACTGTCCGGTTCTCTGGGCGACTGTCCGATTTGTCCGGTTCTCTGGGCGACTGTCCGATTTGTCCGGTTCTCTGGGCGACTGTCCGATTTGTCCGGTTCTCTGGGCGACTGTCCGATTTGTCCGGTTCTCTGGGCGACTGTCCGATTTGTCCGGTTCTCTGGGCGACTGTCCGATTTGTCCGGTTCTCTGGGCGACTGTCCGATTTGTCCGGTTCTCTGGGCGACTGTCTGGTTCTCTGGGCGACTGTCTGGTTCTCTGGGCGACTGTCTGGTTCTCTGGGCGACTGTCTGGTTCCCTGGGCGGTTGTCTGGGCGACTAGTTTTTTTCCGGTGATTGCCCAGTTCTTTGAGGACTGTCTGAAACCTTCTGGTATGTGGTTCCTGCGAGTTCTGATTCTTGCCCATGTTTGTTGCAGGAGCTGGTGTTTCACCATCCTGTGCACAAGATCTCCTTCATTTCGCAAGACACGTGTGACGCTCGTGCCTTCGGTTACGTGTGCGTTTCGGACGAGGGCTGCCACCAGTTCGTGGCAATCAAAACTGAGAAAACCGTGAGTGCCTTCCCTGCCTTGATTTCCACGAGATTGCTTGCAAAAGTGTTAACGCTGCAGTACGCCTCTCCGATTTGTTTCTGCAACCATGCCTAGGCGTCCCAGCTGGTGATAGCCCTGAGAGACCTGTTCCAAGTGGTGCTTGAAATGAAGCAGCACGAGATGCGATTGGCTCGTGAGGAGCAGCAGCAGCAGCAGCAGACGTGCCGATCTTCTGCTTCGCAGATGCACACCAGCAAGAGTACAGACTTCTCCCTCAGGGGGGAGGCACAGGAGGTTCTCTATGAGGTGAGTGCCTTGACGGCACCGAGGCAAAGACCGCTTGTTGTGTGTTGCTTTGTTGCGTCGGCTGAGGAGAAAGACGAACAACTCGTCGAGATCACCCGTGCCAACTAGGTAGGCTGCTGCTCTTTTGGTGATCCTCTCTTGAGGTCGGTTCATGCTTGTAGGGTGGAGATAAAGTGTGTCAAAACGGGAAAAAAAAGTTTTTTTTTTTTATTGAGGGGTTAGATTGGGGATGAAGTGGTACGAACAAAAGTGTGGCAGGGGCACATCAAACCACAAGAAGGGGAAGAGTGCTATCTTACAAAAGATTCCTTCAGGAACCAAGTAGATAGCTTCTCAGTTCCATGCTACAGCAGTCGCAAGGGATGCATATGAGCAAGGACGTTACCACGGTGAGGAGAAATGGTGGAGGGGGGGGGGGATAGGTTCTGTAAAAAGAAATGATATCAGAATCTGAGAGATGGCTACGAAGACCCCTTCACCACATGTGCTATTTATTGTACGATGACATTGTTGTCTTGATTCTAAACAACTACACACAACATTGAAGCAGAGATAGCTGTCTTGGATACAGATTTAGAATAACATGGAGACACTGCTACTTCCTGGTTACTGATCATGTCAAATCCCATGTGGACTCTCCTGTTTCCAAATGCCTCGTGTACCACGCCGCCAGCATGAGCCGATGTCATATTGTGGACCATCTGTTTGCAGTTTTGTTGTCCGGTTGAGAGTCGGGTTTTATTATGCTTGTTCTTGAGCATCCTTCCGAGTATGTGCACGCTTGCAGATGGTCAGGTTTGAGAGAGCGGTCCTGAGCATGTGTGCTACTGAGGGAATGGACCTGCATGCACTTGAGATGCATTTCCTGTATAGGACAAGGCATAACCGCAACTGCACGTTGGTGGATCGGCTAAGTGGCTCTTGGTGTCCAATGCTGCACACTCTTGATATGCTTAGTAAATGCAGGGTGATTCGGTAATGTCCAAAGGACATCCTAAAAAAATAAAGGTTTCCTCTTGGAAACGTGCCTTGGATACCGGGTCCATGCTCTGTCTCACTTGAGGTGCGAGCGTTGCATAAGCTTGGCTTCCAGCACCCCTGCCAAGCGAGCAGGCGTCATTCAGGGCGACACTCACACGCGCATAGCGTCGACTCTGCTCTCACGTAAAGCGAAGCAAACCATGGTCTCATGTTTCGGAGTGGCCACGGCAACTTTGGCCGAACTGCCGAGGCAGACGACTCGATGCAAGTTGTGCTGATCCACCAGCGTCGCTGTTGCGAACCAAGGGGTCGCCGACCTTTTTTCGGCCGCCACGGAGGGGGAGTATCCCTGCGTCGCCTGCATACGCATGCATGCCGTCCCGTAGGCAGTGAGCGGAGCGCGCGAGGGGCTGTCTCCGCCCCCGGAAGCCCAGCCTCAGAGCCCCGAGGGGTCTGGAACCCCCACCGTGGACGACCTCCTGGATCTGCAGTCCGAGCTGGATTCTCTTCAACAGGTAGGACTTTCGGGCACGCTCCCTCAGAGTCCGAGCACCTGTCGTCGAGGTAGCACTGCACCCGGATGCATGCGTCATCTTTTCATTCGAGACCTTTGGGACCCTTTCCGGACGCTGCATTGTGCCGGACTTGTTTCCTTCCTTCGCTGCTGTAAAAGAACCTATACCATAATACGCAAAGAGATGGCCCACCCCTGAAAAATGAGCCCCCCTATCTTTGGCACAATCTTTTCCTTAAACGCCGAAACTTCTATTCTCGGTTTGGGCTGACGCCCGAGCGCGGCGGGTGCTACGAGCCATCCCAGATCTGGGAACGTGGCGCGTGACGCACTCTTCGTGCGTCACTGCACCACTTCTTTAAGGTCACGTGACGCTGGCGGCCTCGGATTGGCTACGACGGCTCGTAGGATCCGCTGCGGTTGGTCGTAAGGAGAACCGGAGCATGGTAGTGGCAGCAGTGCCAGGCCCCAGTGGCGACCTCTGCCGAAATGGGGTTAGTTATCAGCGACTGGAGGTAAGCAAACGTTGCCGACCAGGGGAGAACAGACAGCTTTGCTTCACTGCCCGCCTAAGTCGTAACAAGTTTATGCAAATCACAAAATATGAAAATAGCATTTGTGAGATTTTTCTCGATTGCACACCAAAAGCTGGCCTGCTCTTTATTTTCACCCAATTTTCTCGATTCTAGGTGGGCTATTTCTTTGGATATTACGTAGACGGGGACATGTTAAGAATTCAGTAGATGCTCCGGTGCGAGGTTTCTGCTTTTGATGGAACTTTATCGCACGTGCAGACAAAGCTTGTACCGAATTCTTAGCATCTTGCAAACTTTGCAGAATGCCTGTACCTTGTTCAGTGCATTCTGCAAAGCTTTAAGAATGTGCCATCATATCTGTGTAGTGTAGTTGTAAAAAAGCACAGAGCATATGGTTAGCACAAATGGGCAATTGTCAGTTTTTCATGCTTTCCTCTTCTACTTAAAGTGCTGTATTCATGATTGCCCCTGTGCTGGAAAGGAGTCAGTTGGGGAGTAAGCTCTATTGCTGAAATTTGATGCTCGTCATTGCCCTGGCTGAGTAAATTGTGCCATTTGCGGAGAGTATTTGCTTCGAGGTTTTGAATAGGAATCTGATTCCTTTCTTGTTCATTTTGCATTCAATTTAAGAATTTTCTGTAAGGCTCTCTTCTGATATTCTCAACTGTTAAAGCTTTATTAGAGGAGAGGTCCTTTTAGACTGCCAAATATGGGTTCATTATATCTTTCAACAGTCCTTATATGCACATTTGGTATTTGATTGTGCGTTCAAGGTCACCTTTCACTTGCGAAAAGTTTTGTTAGCCCACCTTTTGTAAAAAAAAACTGCTTTTTGTGGGTACTGATAAAATATAGTAATTCAGGTTTATTTTTCTTTTGCAAAATAATGTGTTGAAGCAGACTTAGCCAGGCAATTCGGCAGGCACCAGAAGGGAATACCCGATATATTAGATTCATTGTAATGCTTGTACTATGGTTTGTAACAAAATGAAAACGTTAGGGTGTTCCTCTCAAACACGCACGTGCGCGTGTTCGAGAGGACGTGCGCGTTCCGCACACTCAGGAACTTGCGACACGCCAAAGCCTTGTTGGAGGTAGGAAGGCGGGGCAACTGAAGCTCCTCCCTGTCGGCGACCCTAGAGAGCTTCCTCGTTACAGGGGATCCAACAAATGGAGACAACGATAGCTGCGGCGGCCACGCTGGCCAGCCCGGTCTGCCCAGACCCGTTCGACACATCCTTTGTGACAGATCCCGGTCAGGTGGGTGCGACTTCGTCAAACTCGGCTCGCCTATCTTTCACCCACATGGGAGGTACTTAACCGGGTGTACAGTCGTCTGCATAGTTGCCGTGCACGTGGCTGCTTCAAGGTCGCGTGGGAGATGGTGCAGTCCCTTCGGGTTCGGTGCACCGAGCAAGCTGTACTGCACCGTGATTTGGCAGTGTTCGACGGTTCAGGACGAGGGCCTTATGCACTCGTAAAGCCACATTTGTGGACGACTGTGCCCTAAGTCGTCGGGGGTGTTGTTGCAGTCGAGTCGTCCGGTTGCCAGGAATCTGCACCGATTGGCGCTTCTTAGTTGGTGGAGTTCCTGTGGGTTCGTGCAGCTTCCTTGAAAAGGTGCTAGCAGAGGCGCTTCGTTGTAGCGAACAGAATGCCTCCAAAACCTTTTTATTTGTTTGCAAAGCGCGAAGTTGGGGTAGGACAGTTTAACGCGATTGCAGAAGCCTGACTCCAGACAACAAGGACGACACTATCCGTAAAGGTGCTCGCGTTTTTACAGGCTGCCGTGATTGTGTGGGGGTTTAGAGTAATTTTCTTATTTATAAAAGAATACTTATTATATTATACACTGATATAATACATCTTGCACCTATTCCAAATATGCAATCGGATATTGAATATCATTACTTGAACCCAAGTTATGGAGATTGGCCAAATTCGAGGGGGGGGGGGGGGGGGGGGATTGGGTAATTTGTTACGGGTCATTGGAAAGAAATATTCTAAATGACCAGAATTATTTTTAATGCAACTAACTGCATTCACAAGGATGTAATTTGTGCCGTGATGATATTTGATTTCACCTGAGAGTGTTATGTTACTAAAAAAAAAAACAAGTGTAATTATAATGTAAAAAATGTGCTTTCTCGTTGTTTAAGAAAGTAGTTAATTGGATAGAACTCTTAAGTTGGAAGACTAAAAATAGCATCATCACACAGCTCCATTCTTCTTGAGTAAAATGGCATCAAACATGTTAATATATGTGTATTCCTACTGAATGTTCATAGAAAATTTACCATATGTTTTTTTACATTTAAAAATTAAATAGAGCAATAATGTTTTGCACGAAGCTGGGTGGGTATGTCTAAACATCAGAAAAGCCAATTTCCCAAGAATGACTTTTTCCCAACTTTTTGCCATTTAAAGACCAGTCTCCCCCCTTAAAGCATTTGTGTTTACATTCCGGTACATGCTGAACCTATAGTTCTTCCACCCACCGGGAGGTTGTCTTTCCCATTGCGAGTCGTTGCCACAAGTTTTCCCCCAGGGGCCATTGCATCCAGGTGCACAAACCTACACAGCCAGCATAACTCCTACACTTGTCAATGGGCAGGCCATTTCATAAACTAGACAAAGTACGGGGGCCGCAGATCAAGTTCCTGTGGTTGTGGGGCTGCCTGCGGGGGTCCTGACGAGTGCGCCAGAGGTTTATGCACAGACATAGGCGCATCATCGGGTGAACCCAAGGATATTTCGCTGTGCATGTGTTTGCGAGACCTACGTGTGTTGTGCCCGCCAAGTTCTCCTTTCATCTATTGGTTTTAACGTACCTATAATGCTCACACTTTGAGGGACGGTTTTCCCCATGAGGCACATCCTGCCGATTCTCGCTGAAATCATCGGAGTCTGTTTACTTTCTCCGGCCATAAACAAACCAGAGCTCGTGTCTTCATGTTCGGGCTCTGGCCATGGCACCTGTCCTCGGGAGCTGACCTTTTTGCCTCCGGCAAGGGTATTTTTGCCCGTCCGATTGGTTGAGAGTGTACTGGGTTCTACCCAATGGGATTCTATCAAGATCTTGATTGGATGGGACAGGTTTCGGTGCACTGTCATAAACTCGACCAGACGGAAAATCGTTGAGTTTGTACGGGCCTGAGCGGCCCAGTGGTCCTCTCCCACGGTTTGCCGCATTCCTTCTGTCGCGAGAGCCCCTGCTCTTAGGCTTAGCCGCCGTCCTCTTCGTTTGCGAAAGGACGCTGGACGTGGAAGCGTTTGTTTTTGTAACTGCTTAACTATGTAAGCTGTGCGCGGCAGTTAGTTGGTGTCTCATTTCCTTTTGTGTAACTTGTTTTTTTGTTGAAGTAAAGTTTATTTTTGTTTGTTGTATTCATTACAACTTCTTCTCCAAGTCCGTTAACTCTCCGCCGTTGGCCGCGACAAGAAGTCTTAAACTACGACCAGCGTCCGGACCACATCTTCCTCGATATCCCCTCCCGATTCCCGACAATAGATAAAGGTGCTGCATCGAGGTCCAGGACCAAAACAACCTAATATCTCTACTCTACGTGACTGAGATTCTAGAAAACGGAACAACTAAAATACAAAGCCTGCAAATGATGAAAAATTCTGGCATTACTTGGAAGAATTGTAAATTGTGTTGAAGGAAATAAGCGCGATTAAGTTGCAGTAGGTAATTGAGATTGCTTGCAGATTGTTGCTTTAGTTGAGTGACAAAACAGTTTTTGTTGCGACGTCTTGAACGCTCGAGATACGGAAACAAAAAGTGGACAACGCGAACACAACATGCTCTCTTTCTGTCTCGCACGCGCACAGGCGCACGTATGTGCATGTGCACATGCGCACACTCACCAAAAAACTGTGTCGTTCACTTCTTGTTCCGAAGTCTCGGGGGTTGAAGGCTGGCCAGCTCGCCTACTTGTTCCCCATGATTTCCATCAATTTCCTTTAACTGGCCCCTCCCCGAAATTCTTCGTCTGCGCGCAGGCCTCCCGTGCGTTCTTCTCGCAGCCCGCGACCCCCGTGGGACCGGCCCCTCCGTTGCTGCCGCCCCCTCCTCCGGCCAGACCCGCGTCGAGTTGCGCCAGCGTGGCGCGCGTCGCTCCGCCCCCCTTCGCGGAGCAGCGCGCCCCGGAGCGCCGCCCCCCGCGGAGCCTCGCCTTCGCCCCGCCCGTCCCGCCACCCCACCGTCCCACCTCCACAGTGTCCCTGCCCCCGACCCCGCTGCCGGACCTCTTCGCGGACCTGGACCCGCTCGGAGGGGGACGCCCGCAGCAGAGCCGTGCCGACTTCTTCCGCGACGTCAAGAGTCCGCCCCGGAGGGTCCTCCGTGACCTGTACCGCGACGGGAGCTCCGGCTCGGCGGACGTGGCCTCCCTCGCGTCGTGCGGCGGCTGGGAGACGTTCGAAGAGGAGACGGCCCCGCCGCCGTCGTTCCCGCCCCCGCCGCTGCCCGACTCTTCGTCGAGCGGTGCCTTGGCGAGCCCCCCCGTGGCGATTCCGCCGCCGACGGCGGACGAAGGCTTCTGCAGCGGCAGCAACGCGTCGTCGGTTTCGCCCTCGCTGCCGCTGGGTGCGACCCCGCTGTTGCTGCCGGGAGGCGGCAGCGGGGACATCTTCAGCCGCAGCAAGGACCCGTTCGCGGACGAGTTCTTTGCGGCGCCTGCCGCGGCAGGGTTCCAGGTGAGTACCGTGGTGGATCATGAAAGGTTTTGTCGGTGTTGAGCGTCGCGGAAAAAAATAGGGTCGATAGCTGATTGATAGCTGGATCGCGAGGATACCGCGGTTAGAACGAACCTCCCCTGTATACCTTGTGTAAATATCCCACAGTTGCATTAAATAGGAGTGGTTCATTAGTTGCCTGGCCGAGAAAGATAAGATTAGTTACGCAAATTGTTATGGGCCTTTTGCATCTGGCCTGTGTGTGTGCGTGCCCGCTTGTTGGTTTGAGGGATCCACGCTCCATTGTTTGTTAGAGACAACTGTGTCGCGCAGTATGTCTACGAGTTCTTTATGGGTGTCTCCGAGAGCGCCCCGTCGACATCAGATTTGCGCCGGTGAGGCTATTTCCTTTGCACGTCAAGAGGCTGAGAAGACTGTTACCTGGTGCTAATTCAAATTACAGTTCAATCCCGCTAGAGCGATAGCCGCTTCAAGGAAATTTCCGCAACTACTCCAAGTATTTTCAATTCCCCATTCGTTGTCCGTAGTAAAGTGTATAAAAGGTCCCCCTACAACGAACAACTTTTAGAATGCTGCCGCTTTGCTTCTACAAAGTATTCTTAAAGATAGACACAACTTGGGATTTGGTTTATAAATCCCATTTGTGCAAAACCCCAATCATGTCATTGTTTTTTTGCCGATTTCACTGCAAAGTTTCTGCAGGAAATAAACATTTTAGCGTGTTCCAACAACTTTGTTGTAGCAGGATTTGACGGTATCTTGTTTAATATCTCAACAAAATTTTATTGAGCTTTGCGTTTTAATTTACATTTACTTTACTTTTTCAATTTCCATTTTGTGCTTCGATAAGATCACGGCCATTCATTTCATGTGATGGGGGGTTGTCAAGTAAGAAAAATGAGCCTCGTACATGCCCATTTTTTTTTTGGCAAGGGGATCGGTACTTGTAATCAAAAGCACACCTATTTTATGCTTCTCAGGTAAGTGTTTACCCCAAGCATTAACCAAAGTAAGAAAAAGAAAGTTTCACTATCCTTGTTATGGTACGACACTGAAATACATTCTGGTTGTTGTACGCAATTTGTTTTCTGACTTTGCCATTCTTACGTGCTATGCGATGGCCAATGAAGGACGTTTTTTTCCTCTTTTTTTTTTTTTGTTTGCAGGAGTCTCCGGCGCTGGGTGGCTTTGGCTCTGCACCGGCCCCTCTGCTGGCCAACGGGGCCATGACGCCCGGTGGCTCCCCCTGGCTCCTCCCACCACAGGAGGCGTCGTTTAGCCGTTGAACAGCCTTCCTCCCTCCCTCCCGAGTTCTGTGCCGGTGACGGAACCGGTTTGACATAGTGAGAACAATGAGTATAATAATAATAATAAAAGGTACACAGAGTAGCTATCCCGGTGTTCGTCGCCTCTTGTTATGCCCAGTTTGAAGAGTTGCACCTTCTGCTCTCGTGGAAATCCAGTGTTTGGCGAGCTGCAGAGACTAGTCGCTTAGTGGGACAAAGTGTAGGCTCGGTTGCTTATATGCTGTTGCCCAACTTTCTTTGGCAGGCTCGTAAATTTCGATGCGACTGGGCACCCCACCTAGGTTTTTCTCACGAGTTGTCTCACCTTTTGGATTACAGTCCGCGAGCTATAGGTCTCTAAAAGTTTACATTCTATTTCAGTGTATCGTTCAAATTTGCTCTGCATTGGAGTGAATGGTCATAGGCCCAGAATTGTAAACGAGGCAACGTTCATTTCACTACATTATTTTTTGTGCACTCAACGATTTGGAAGTACCTTGCTTTTGAGCGATGCGTGATGGCTCATGCTTGTGCCTACCTTAGTGCAGTGTGATGTCCTGCTGCTAGACTGGTAAACTACACTCGTCGCATCAAGGAAGTTTTGTGCAGTTTAGTGTGTGCATTATGCGAAGTAGGTTTTATGAGGTTTGGCTGGCAAAGGAAGAAATTGTTTTGGCATTTGAAATGTTTGGCTCGATAAAATAATGTACAGCCCGTCTAAGATGCACCTGCACATCTTGATTTAACACATGGAGGATTAAATTAGTAATGCTCTGCAAGGGGCTGGACTCTTTACCACGGTACTACAAGTATGATGTACCATCTAAATCTAACGTTTCCAGTGGAACGCAAGAGAATAGCACCATACGCTCACTTCCTCCGCCCTCCGCTGGGGCGTGCCAGATGCCCGTCATTGGTTTGACACGTAAAACGCCCAAATTTGACTTTCTTTTGACCAGACGCTCAAACTGTGGTTAGGCAGTCTGACCAATAAAATTAGGTCTGGCACTAGTTACTACTGGCACCTCCCGTTTCCAGTGTTTTATGTGGAATAGCACTTGCGCGATTTGCCCAGATGGACCCGAAGAATTGCAGCGGAAGTCTAGTCACTCGTGGAATCTTGGGATTGGCTATCGTGCAAATTGCGGCACTACGAGCTGACTGCTTGTAGTGCCACACGCCTTTCCTGCATACTTTATGCATTGATGTGCTTGTCGGGCCAGTGGTTAGTGCTGATGCAATGTCTTAGGAAGGTGCATGGCCCTTAATTAGTTTATTTATAGATGTTTTATATATATAGTTTTTAATAGTTTATCACATTTTGGTTGCCTTGTCTGGGAGTTTTACCACTCCGGCCAGCATTCAGTTAGATTATCTCACAATATGGGGCCTGGAACGCATGTTCAAGTGTCCTGTACCACCCATGCATCGAAAGGGTTTCCGAAGAGGCAACAAATGTTGGAAAATTTTGTAGCGTTAGCTACACTGGCCGAGGTTGAGCAGTTTTGCGTGGCCCTCATAATGAGCCGTGCCCATTATACGGAGCGCGCGGCAGCGGCGGAGCTCCGCATAATGAGCACGGCGCCGTGCGCTCCGCATAATGGGAGCCATGCGAAGCTGCCGCCGCGCGCTCCACTGTCGCTGCGCCCGTCTCGCCGATCTGCGCATTTGAGAGGAGTGACGTCGTAGCCGCGGCAGACGCACTGGCACCGCCGCGTGCCCAGCTGTGCGCCTCTGTTGCGGAGTAGCCAAGTCTGCCGCTGCAGCGGAGCCGCTTGATAGCGCCTCTCATTTTGTGCGCATAAGCTCACGCTATGTACATCCTGGCATAGCCAAGCTAAGCCACTGCAGTCTTTCCGCTTAAAGTTGTATGTCGATCGTGACCGAAGGGAAGGGAATCGTTTCTCCGTACGGGGGGGTTGGGGTGGGGGGGACCATGGGCGTCGAAATAAGTCCACGAAACGACGACTCACATCTTTCAAACGCCCCGGCTGTTCTGTACAAAGGGTGTGGGGCCTCTCTTTATTGGCTAGGGGGTCTGGGTGGAGGTGGCGGGGCCTTGTCCCTCAGCTGGGCGCACGCCAGCCCGAGGATGTCCTGCTTCTCCTTGGGAAAGCGCAGCTCGCGCCCCGCCAGCCGCGCCGCCTCCAGCTCCGCCCGCGCCGCCGCCATCTCCTGGGCGATGCGCCCCGGCGCGTGGTGCTCCCTGGCCGCCCAGTCCAGCGCCATCTGGGAGCGCATGTCGTCGTCGAGCGGCCGCTGGGAGTAGTGCGCCAGCACCTCCTGGCGGGAGCACTGCCGCTCTCGCATGGCCTTGAGCGACCCGTTCCAGTGGAGCAACTGGAAGACTGTCATGAGCTCTTGGAACTCGAGCATGGTGCGGCCGCGGTTGGCCTCCAGCATGAAGCGGAAGGCATCCACCCCGCCAGACTGACTCGCCAGGTTCTGCGGGGAAGGCAGACGACGAAGATCAGAGCCGCGCACAAAACAAAGTGTTCTCAACTACTCGTTCCAACTGTACTTTGTTTCACTGTACGTCCGGACACAGCCGATAAGACCAACCGAGCGGCGTCAAAGGCGCATCAACGCACGGTGTTGTCGTGTTTTTGTTTGTGTTCTTTCGTCGCTGAACTAATCGCGTACAGAGATGGCCCAGTGACTTGCCCCTTTGATGCTGTTCAATAGGTCCCATAACCTCGTAGCACTGACTGCGTCGGGACCTGAGGTGAACCGGAGTATGGAGCCATTGGATAGGCCACACTCGGTCACCACCCCGTTCCTCCACTTTCTTTGCGGGTGCCTCTATTTCGCGACTCCGGAACTTTAGATACCTTGGCAGCTCGAGCGATAGCATTTTGTTCCATCGCAGATCATTGCAATGTTTCTGGAGGAGGTGAAGCAGTTTCCTACGAATTTGGATGGAGTTGATAGCTGGCAACAATGATTCTAAGCACACGGGTGGCTGAAGTGTTGTTACCTTGAAGCATAGCTTAGCGGCTCTAAACATTGTTTTACCTTGCATCTGGCTGCAGCAGACTCCAAGAGCCATCCCAGCCAATACAGCTCTGACAGCAACACGACTTTTTAGCGCGCATCGCGGTGCTTCCTTTTTGAGGGTCAAGGCGTACCTCTTGCGGCCTGGGATGGACTCCAATGGCCCTGCAGTTGGTCGCAAGGTTAATCTAGTTTGCGCAGGTGGTTATTTTATCTGCAGCCTGATATTTAAGGAATGGTGGCTAATTTTTGGTTCGCAATTGCATTGGAGAACCCCGGTTTGTTTTTCAACTGCAGGCTTGGAGGCAAGTGGGTGGACCTGCTGCAGTGGCATTGCAATGATCTCTAATGCTCATTCTCTTTGATACAATAATAGAGTTAAAATATAATACTAGAGCTAAAAGGGGAGTGATGGAGAACGGTGAGCTTGGCAAGGAGCAAGACAAGATAGCTTGGTATGTTGGTCGTTTGACCAAAAGTATGGCTATGAGCAAAGTGCATTTTTCGAGGTTAAACTACAGGGGGCAGAAGGAAAAGGTTCCTTCTGTTGGCACCAAGTGTTCCCTACAAAAAGCGCAATTGATGTCGCCAGCAAAAACTCGCCAGTAATATCTGTCAAGTCAAAAGTCAAATTTGGGGTTTTACGTTCCAAACCTACGACGGGCATCTGGCACGCCCCAGCAGAGCACCGAGGATAAATTTCAACCACCACCTGGGGATCTTTTGACGTGCAACCGAATGCTCTGTTACACGGCGCCCTCTCCACAATAAGCCTCAGTCATTACGGGCATCTCGTAAGATGTTTTAAGACGTGTGGTCATAAGCAGTCCCAAAAGTGTGAACCAGCCATTACACACAACAGATATGTGACCACCTGACTCAAAAGGGATATTCGCAACATATTGGACCATTCCGATTTCTTTTTCCTCCATAATTTTTTTATGTGATGTTTTCAACACATTTTCTAGTTATAATACTCCACTGTTCGATACTATGTCAACAAAGGAGCGGTTTTCCTCGGGAGACTTCTGACAAGGGACGTTGTCGACACTGTTTCACCCAATGTACCTTGGAAAGGTACTCACCCCAAAGGAAGCCCTCGCTTCCCTGACAGCCTGGGCCACAAACTCGTCCGATATCCTTCGGCTGGGATGCTCGTTGAAGACTGAATTGACGAGGGCAATCTTGGCGGCGCTGCGGCGGGCTTCCGCCTTTGTGGGGCAGTTCTGTAAGGGCGCACTCGGCATCATTACAGTGGTCGGCAACCGATCGATGGGCCGCATTTTTTTCCCCCCACTCCTAGCAGATATTCCTGAAGTTTGAGGGCTGCCACTTTGCAAAGAACAATAAAATAACCTGGGCTCTGTCGATGATGCGCGCGGGTGTGATATTGGGTAGCGATACGAAAATAGATCGTACGCATAAGGCATCAAATGGACTAAGGCATAAGAGCACGATGAACCTGTAGTCGTTGCCCAATGATTGCTGCGGCACAGGTAACTCTGTGCTCGCAGCCATACATTCAATACTGGCAGTAGGTTTCGCCTTCACCCAATATCCTAGACCAGCTTTTGGTGAACTGCCCGGTAGCTGCGTTAACTTTCAGCAAATTTGTCGAGGTAAAGCTGCAGTGGTGTGATGAGAGTTGCCCCATCTCATCTTTTGGGAAGGGCAATGTGACCAGCACAACGTGACTGTCAATTTGGAATTCTTAAATTGTGCCAGGCAGTTCTACTGATTCATAAAAGCATGCCAGTTGCATCAGTTGTTTAACTGGAGGTCAACGCCAAGCTTAAAAGTCTCTCCAGCAGTCGCAAGACAAGTTGAAAGCTCTCCTCGGAAGCAACTCCGAGTTCCAACAGCGTTCTGCCCACTTTAAGAATGAAACTACTTCAAGTCCTTTAACGGGCATACCACAGCCGCTGTCAATGTCCTTTGTCTAATATGCTAAAAAAAAAAATCCCAGAAAAAAAGAAAAGAAAAGGAAAACTTTGAGCAATATTTATACCGAGAGACATGTTTGTGCAACCAAAGTTAAAGGTCGATGACCAGAATCGGGGAGATTCTGCAAGGCAGAAGATGCTCCTCACCATGGGGGAGGAGGAAACAGGCAACGGTGGACAGGGTAGGAGGGTGGGGAGAAGGGAAAAGTGGAAAGTGTGAACTAGTCGCCGGTCTTTAACCTCTACTTCAAGGTTATGTAAAAAAAGTTTCCACAGGGGAATTTTTTTTCTTTTTTGTGATATACATGATTTGGGCATTTTAAACAATGTTCTCCGAGTTCAGTGTTAGTGCTACCGCTTGTCCCCTTCGTTCAGACAAACTTATTTTTAGTTGCAATCTGTCTTATAAAGACAACGAAACCAACAAAAAAAAGGAAAGGGGGGGGGGAGAGAGGCTTTCATCTTTCGAAAGTTTTGTCGGAAGTTTATGTGCCCCGTACGCAGGTTTGGGCTGCTGCACTTTGGATCGGCCAATAAAGACAAGGCCTTACTTCACGTCATCGCTAGTGGATTGGCACCAACTAGAGCACTATATAGCTCCTTCGGAGCAGAGTAGCACAATCTAGAACGCCATCTCTCGGCGACTAGCGACAAACGCCAGGAGGTTTTAACTTCAGTCAGAAATGCATGGGGAACATGAGAAAATTGTTGTTTCTTGAATATTTTTGGGGTGTTGGGAATGATAATAGTTTTTGACATAATAAAGGGATGTACGATAATTTTCGCTAAGTTGTGTGTCATGTAAGAACATAATTTTTTTTTTTTTAAATTGCCCGAGTAGCATTATGCAGCAGATGACGCGGCAACTTCACGCCGTTCACGTGACCCGCTCCGGCCTACCCATAAAGTCCATCTCCGCTGCGTAAAACAATCGTCTGCTTCAAACGCCATTGCCTTTGAAATAGCCGTCTCAAAATTTTCACACGTATCCAATATCAAGAAAACTTTGATAAAGTGTTGGTGCTTTACCAACTTCACGACAGAATAGTTTCGAAAATTGTGAGCTCGGCGTTCATTTTTTAATCAGCCGTGTTGCGTGGATCTTCATGTGTTCACCCATAGGGCGGGCGCTTCCTGGAACCCTCAGTACCACATGACCAGGGTGTAAGATAGACAGGTGGGGAAACGAGAGCCAGATCAGCGACCGGATTGTGTCCCCTTCAGTTTTCTCTTTTTCTGTGGCGCCATCTATGTGGAGCACCGCGGACTCTCACTCCGGGTGCACGACCCGTGGCGATTGGCTAAACTGACGGAGATAGTTTCTCGTGGATTTTCAATGGAAGATTGTCGTGCTCTCAGTTTATTTTGCGCACTCTCCCACAGAGTTCCACGCAAATTCGATTCCGACTTTTTTTCCTCTCGCCGCAGCGCCATCTGTCGCTAATCGGGGGTACCCGCAAGCAGACGAGTACACAATTCGGTCACGGCGCTGTGGTAGGCTTCTATGGGCCGTTTTCCCACCTGTCTATCTTACACCCTGCACATGACACACGCCGAGATGCTCTCTCGGCAAAACACGCGGATGAAAGGATGGCAGATCTGCTCCGTAGGAGCTATACAGTGCTCTAGCGCCCACCTGAAAGCTTCCGAAGCAGCTTCCGCCTGGGAGGGTGACGAAGCAGACGTAGGGAGGACTGCAGGCAGGTACGGACTCGTACACCACCATGGCCGCCGGTAACTCCGGTCGGCTGCCGCTCTTTTTCATTTGCCAGAACTCCTGGAGGGCTTCCACCACGTTCACTGCAAGAGCACAAAATCCTGTCTTGAATGCACCGTATCAAAACTGCGCGCCAGTTTTGCTCCAGAATTTATTGGACACGACGGTTGCGTCATCGTTCGGCATGACCTCGGCTCAGTTCGCCTAGAAAACAAGCGCTGCGTCAGTGTACGGCGAGAACTTGGATCCAGTCGCACACTTCCTAAGGGTGGATGAATAGTAGGGGTGTCGCAAACATTTGTCGAACCTCGATTTTGAAATCGAACCTCAAGGTTCTACTGGTTCGCTGAGAAGTTCGACTTATGGACAATGTTGCCCGGCTTCTACATGAATATTTCAAATTTTGGGAATAGCGACATCTGTGCAAATCTGCGAGGCACAAAAGAGGATCCTGATCAAAGGGGAGCTCCCTCCTCCCCTTTTCTGTGGTGGTCATCGGAGCGCTCTTTGAATGATATTACGTGCATCGGGCGGCAGCTTGCGCCACCTGGCCTAGAAACCTTTACACCTCTCTCAATTTTGCTCTAAATTTCGTTTCTTGATAAAACCCAAAGAAAATGCTGTCCTTAATGTTTTGTTTTAATGGGGTTCGACGTTTGTCTTTCATTGAAGCAGTGTCTGATCCTTTAGTATTTATTTATTTACTTCTTTCAACACCCTCAGGGTTTATAGGCAGGAGAGGGGGAGGGAATACAAAATCACACAGAAGAAAATTAACAGAATAGGAATACAATGTATGTTTGATAAGTTTTTTTTTTTTCTGCCGAATTACAATTTTTTAGCACAGCCCAGAAATGTTTTCCATCATTGTGAATATGTAAATTATATAAAATACGAATTCGGGCTCTTTGTAGTTTTAAAGTGGAGGTGAAGTCGTGAGCTCTTTATTTATCATCGCCAATTTTAAAATGCGATTATTTCTAATTATTTCTTGGATCAAATAAAATACATTGCACACATTGAACCAAACAAATGTCGGACAAACTCGTTCCTGTTTTATTTCTACAAGTGTGTGTGTGTGTCTTTTCTTTTTTTTTTTAATTGAATACACGCTAGGATTGCGAACAAGACAATGCATAACGCACTTTGAATGTGACTTGGAGACTTTTAACGACACTGGTCGCGTAAAAAATGCTAAGATGCCGTGAACGACACAAGAACAACACTACGCCTGGTTACAAAAAACGTGAACTGATAAAAAAAAAAAAAAAACACACACAGCATTTTGTGCACTCTTTTTGAAAACTTGTAGCTGGGAAATACGCCTATTAAAAGTAGCAGACGACGCACCATCTTTCAACGGTTCCGAGCGTTCGGACCATCCAAGAAACCTAGCAGACGGTACGCACCCCCTCCCCGGCAATTTTCTGCTCGAGCGCCGAGAAAGCCGTGAAAAGAACGCCGAGGCTCGGAGCGCGACCTGGCCGGCCAACAACGAACCAACGAGGCGCTTCTGCCGCACGCGCGCGTCGGGACAGCGGGGCACATTCCAAGGCGGGAGGAGCTCGGACGCCACGAGAGCGCGTGTTTCAGTGGCGCGCCGGGGGCAAAGGCCGCGCACGCTACGTGCTCCTCGGCCAGCGTCGTCGGAGGCTGCTCCAGATGCAGCGGAGCGGCGCGAGCTGGCCGCCGAGACGAATGACCCCTTTATGGCTGCTGGCCGGCAGCTCCGCCTAATTGCCCCGGCCGCCTCCCCGGCGTACGCGATGCCGTCCGACAGGGCACCGGAGAGGTCGGTCCGGCGAGGAAAACATGCGCCCACCGCCACCGCATACGTCCCCGCGCGCCGCTGCTCCGCGGCGTCCGAGTAGCAGACGACGGGCGTCGACGGGCAACGCGCGCAGAGAACGCATCGGTAGGCAGCGCGCATGCGCAGATAGTAGTAGTAACTGCGTGTGCATAGTATCCACCGGCACGACCCCATGTGATACAAACTATGGCGCAATCGGTACGACTACATGCGACTGCTATTACTTAGCAGACGACGTGTCGGTACTACTGGTACTACTGGTACTACTCGGTAGGCAGTGCGCACGCGTAGTTAGTAGTAGCGGTAGTGGTAACTTCGGTACGAACTGCGCATGCATATCCACTAGCACGGTCCCGTGCAATGGGATATCCGTGCCCGCCGGACCAATCAGACGCCTCCCCTTCATCACCTGACCACGTGACAAAAGAGACGCGTACCACTCGTCCAACGAGGACGTATCTTCCCCGCAGTCTCATTACAGACTCTGTGAACGAGATGACTTCCGGTTGACCAGCTTCTTGTCATTAGCTGCGTTCGATTTACTTACACCTCTTGCGCCAGTGCAGAAAAGTATAGGGCAATCTACTTCCGGTACTGTGTATTGTTTACGTTTTAATGAGCAAGAATGAGAGGCGCGTCTTATAAATGGACGCTGACAGGGTATTTTTGCCCGCCAAGGTTTTGGTTTGTACATGACATACGAGAGAACAACTACCCAGAACACAATTTGCGGCTCGAAATTCGCCCGAAAACCGCCGACTGAGAACTGGCTGGTTTGAGTTGCGCGCTTTCTCTCTTCTCCGCGGTCACGTGCCGTTTTCTATGGCAAACCACCAGAGATAATCAAAGTCGTGACTCGTGGGTCATCAAAGGCACACACTCAGTACTAAAAATGTTCAAAAAATAGGATGCCCATTTTTTGTGGCTTCTACAAAGCTGCAAATACGTTGAGTGAAAGGAAGAAAAAAAAAAGCTGCAGAGCCACGTGACTTCCGGTAACTTTCTTCCCTCAGAGTCCAGTTTCGGTTTTGTTGCGTTTTTCTTTTTCTTTTTTTTACTTTATTAAAAATATACCTGATGCTGTAGCAAAATATTGATTGGCCAGTCTTCTGACACCCATAATAGATCGCCTGATAAAAATAAAGCAAACTTTTTGGGCGGTGTCAGAGTCCCTTTAGGATTTTTTTTTTTTTTTTTTTTTTTTTGGGGGGGGGGGGGGGGGAAGGGAAATCAGGAAAGCTGTGTCTTTATTTTGTACGTGGCGTTTTGCTAGAGTTTGTTCAAGACTGTCACATAAACCACATGTTCACAAGCTCGTAGGCACGCGAAAGTTAACGTTAAGAAATAAATCTGATGGTAACGCAATTTATGCTCTGCAAATAATTCTGCTCTAAGTTAAAAAAAAACACACCTTATTCTGTGATAAAAATCTGCGTTCAGGCAAAAAGAAAAAAAAAGTTATAAAAATTAATCGATTCTAGTGTTTGCACGTGAAATCGACGCGCGCGTGACAGAAACGGTTCGCGCTCGACGGTCACGGCTCGCTGCGACTTTTATTTCGCGGAGATCTGCCACAGCTCAATTGTCTGGTCAACTGCAAATCATTACAGGACTCCATGAAGCCAGTGGGTGCGGAAAACTTGACGAAAGACCGCTTTAATTGCGGAACTTCCTGTGGAAGTTCCGTTTCGTGCCCTCGAGCAGGTGAGCCGAAGCATGGAGGAGAGAAGTGAGGCCTCTTCCCCTCATTCTCAAGCGTTCCAAGAGGATCGTGACGTCATACTCCTTGCCCGTTCGCGGCCTTCCTTTCCAAAAATATGGCCATCCGTTGCATATATCGCTGAATGAGTGACGTTTTGGAGTTCGTAGCCAGTGGCAAACCAACTTGTTTTTGATTCGGGGGGGGGGGGGGGGGGGGGGGGCAAACCAACTCGCCCCCCCCCCCCCCCCCAAGGGCCGCGGGGGGGGGGGGGGGCGGTGCTCTTGGTATCCCTTGGACGCCGCCGGCCAGTGTTTCCCCTGCCCAGTGGCGGCTGTTTCCGGGGGGGGGGGGGGGGGGGGGGCAAAGCACATGCCTTGACCCCCCCGTTCGTAGCGTTCCTTCGCGAAATCCAAATTTCGGTTCAGCATCCCCTTAAAGGCCGGTTCTCACATGCAGCGGAGCGCTGATGTAGCGCTTCTCACGTGCCGTCAGCTACTTATCGTCTGCCATGAGCAACAGTTTCGACGGTGCGATACAAAGCTGGTGAACGCTCCCGTCAGCACGCGCTTAGCGCGAGGTAAGCGCTATGCTTGTAGCGCTCCGCTGCATGTGTGAACAGGCCTTTAAAGTGAAGGAATGGCATGTAATCAATCAATATATATATATACTAAACAATGTCTCACCTTATTTTAAAATGTAGAAGTCAAAAAGCCTTCGTGTTTCCCACATCTTTCACTTCACTGCCACACAAAGTTGGGAACTGCGCACATGTGTGCCGGTGCGCCATGAACAGTGTAAGTTTTTAGTCACAAAAAACTGTCACTCGCTCGCATTCGTAACTTTACCAGGCGATCCTCGTTGAGGAGGTACGTCGTGGGCTTGCGCAGTGAGCGCGCACGTTATATAAGTACACACTAAAAACTTTTACAGTAAACCAGCTCGTCCCAGGGTTAATACCCAAAGGGTGTTAGAGCAACACCCTTCGGGTGCTGACGAACGCCCTAAGAAATAGGATGCTGGAGATTACAGCAGATTGATGTGCCACTTGCGCCAAACTGGGCCAAAGTGCTTGCCATCCTGCTACATTCTACCATAATGTGAGGAATTTGCGTCAACGTTGCGCCAAAACTTAATCCCACTTCAATTAATACCGAAAATATAATAGCTCAGGCCTCGCTACCCGGCCAGATCGCTGCGATAGGCTTTTAATTGGTTTTCAGAACTTTTTTTTTTCCATTATTATTGCCTGAAATAACGTACTGTTCGATTGCATTTCGTATAAAAGACTGCCATCACGTTATCTTCGACTGACACTACTCGGAAGTTTCGCAATAATTATTCTGCTCCCGTTGAGTACGCTTCTCACCGCACGCTGGTGTACTGCAGGGAAGCAAATATCGCAGAGCAGGCATCGCGACGTTGCGCGCCTTGCTTCGCCGCAGCGCACCCGCGTGCTGAGGGGAAAGCCCTCCTCCAGAGCGAGACGCGACACTATTTCCGAATACAACTTCGATCGGCTTGTACACACCTGTCTAAAAAAACGCTCATAGGACGCCGCCATGTTGCTGATG